CCTCTTCTTTTTATTTCTGGTTGAGCTCTGATCATCCAGTCACTGAAGCCAAGATAAGTGGGTATTATCTGCAAGTGTGGGTGTTCTTATGCATATGCTAATGGGTGCATTTTAAGTATGGAATCTGCATGCCTTCTTGTGAGTTTAATCTTTTATTATCATGTGCTTTGTTCCTATTAATGCCTTTAAATTTTTTCTTTTAAAAAACCTATTTTGTCTTATAGCTCTCTTAGTTCCTCCTACTTCAAAAAGAGTTTGGCCAGCTACACAAATGTAGGTTGATGGTTATGGATTCTAACTTCCACTGATCTGTCAAGAAACCTGTTGTCAGTCTGTTTGTCATTTTCGTGTAAGTGATCTTTGTTTTCCTGGCAGTTTTTAAGAACTTTTGGTCTTTAGTGTTCTGAAAATTATAATTAGGCATTTATTTCTTTGTTAATTATTCTGTATAGTAAACTATGAATTCACATACTGTGAATAGTCATAAAGACTATGTCTTTCATCAGTTCTGGAAAATTCTTATTATCTCTTTTCTAATTTCTCTATTCTTTTCTTTGGAACTACAATTAGACACAGACCTTTTCCAGCTGTTCTCCTCATCTCTTATCATTTCATATCTCCACCTCCTTGTCTCTGTGCTGCACTTTCCATAGGTATCGTTAGCTCTCTCTTCTAATCCACTAATTTTCTTTTCAACAGGTCTAAAATACTGACTAAATTCATCCTTACAATTAACAATTATATTTTTTTGTTTTTAAAAGTTATTTTTCCACAAAAACTATTTGGTCACATTTGCTTCTTCATTTTTTAAATGATTACTGAGGTGTTGTTGTGGGTTTTTTTTCATTTTTGATTCTTTAAAATCCTTATAAAGCTTTTTATCCTATGCAGTAACTTAAGAGTTTGTATGCATGTTCTTAAAGAATTTTCTTACTTTTTGTGAACCCAAAAATGCATAAAAAGTACATTTTGCTCAGGATCTAGCAGTGAATCCCACAAAGTATAGTGCAGAGGCTAACTGCATGACTCTAGAGACAAACTGTTGTTGTTGTTGTTGTTAGGTGCTGTTGAGTCAGTTCGAAATCACAATGACCTTGTACATAACAGAATGAAACACTGCCCAGGCCTACACCATCCTCACAATAGTTTTTAACCTTGAGCCCATTGCTGCTGCCACTGTGCCAATCCATGTCATTGGGGTCTTCCTATTTCTTGCTGACCCTCCACTTTACCAAGCATGATGTCCTTCTCCAGGGACTGGTCCCTCCTGATAATATGTCTGAAGTATGAGACATGAAGTCTCACCATCCTGGCTTCTAAGGAGGATTCTGCTGTACTTCTTCCAACACAGATTTGTTTGTTATTCTGGCAGTATTTTTAATATTCTTCTCCAACACCATAACTCAAATGCATCAATTATTTTATGGTCTTACTTAATCATTGTCCAACTTTCACATATGTGGCTATTGGAACTATCATGGTTTGGTCAGAAGTGTACCTTAGTCCTCAAGTTGACATCATTGCTCTTGAACACTTTAAAAAGGTTTGTGCAGCAGATTTGCCTAATGCAATACGTCGTTTGATTTCCTGACTGCTGCTTCCATGTTGATGTGTTGATA